TTGAGGAGGCCGGCTCTCGTTGCGCCGCCTTGGGCGGTGCAGCTCTGCGCTGAACACCTTGTCCTTCTCCTCGCCCGCTCGCTTCCTCGGGTAGCGGAGCTGTGCGCTCGACGCTGAGGAGCGAGGATGATTTCATGCAGGTATGTGGCAGGGCTGGTGGTTCCAATACCAACGCGCAAGGCAAAAGTAAAGCTACTGTCGGCATTGCTAGACTAATGGAAACTCCCATCGCGTTTGTTTGATTTGTGTCCGTTCGGCTGTGCACTAAGGAGGCGTTCTCAATGGGAGGCTCATAGCAGCCAAGGGCTCACAACCGCACTGACTATGCACACATTGCAGTGTGAATTTGCCACACTTGGACTTCTGTTTAACCTTTGAAATTCATGATTCCTAAGCGAACAGTTGTCCACTACAGGACACACCAATATTACTTTGAAAATCATGAACACAAGCAAAGATCCTGAAGTCCTCTATGATTATATTTTCAATAGTTTAAATGAAGAATAGCGGCTTTCCATGCAACGGGCCATCCCAGGGCCTGACGATTGACCATGGAGGATACGTGCTGCCATTATCTTGGAAAGTGATGCGGAAGCCCGAGTGCGACACGGGGAACGACTACAAGCATGCGCTCCGGTGCAGTGGATATTCTGCACCACTTTCCACAGCGTGAGAGAAAAACAGCGATAAAATGATGAGCGCAAGGTGGTTTTTAGGGAAGAGCAGAAACGAAAGAAAGGACGCGGAGGTGTGTACATGCTGAGCCTGCAGGATCCCGGTGTACAATCGCCTCGACATTTTTTTCTGCAAGAATATTAGAATATACAATGACATAGCAGGGAGACACATGTGCGTGCAATGAGAAACAGTATCTTCCAGGCAGCCCCCAACCCATGTCGGAACGCTGAAAGAGAGGATTCAGCAACTGGGAAATGAGTTTGAACGGAGCAAACTGCCTCGCTAACAAGAAGAACGCAGTTGACCTGCATAACAGTGAGGCGCCATTCCACGCTACTGGCAATTTCAATGCCATCGTTGCAAAAAGTAACTGTGGCCAATGCCTGCAAAGGTGGCACTGTATGGGCATAGCTGCAGCCAATCAGATATCTTGCAGAAGAGCTGGGGACGTTTTGCCAATCGGACGCTCGGTCCGAAATATTCTGCAACATCGCTCCCTAGTAGAATGTTCCAATGGAACTACTCTTGGTAATTGCTTTTACATTTTTATTTCTGCGTTTATATTTTCACATGCGAAAACGTAAATAAGTTGCAATGGTGGATATTTCATGGCAAGTTTTACGCCTTAACAGCCCGTTGAGGCACCAAGGTTCCACGGTGAAAGTCGCGTACAAATGGCCAGTCCCCCCATCCCACACAGCGTCCACCTCGCCCTGGGCAACGGTAACGATGGCAAGGAGACAAAAGTTCATTTCTGGCCATTGTAGCGCGGTCCGCTGCCACTTCCTTGACTCCCTAAGTCTGCACGTACTGTCTTTATGTAGGCGGGACTGTATTTATCTTGTATTTACGTATTTTTAGGTGCAAAAACGTAGAATCTATTTTTACGCATAAAAGGACAACACCATTTGTGTTTACAGCACAAATAACAAGCCTGAATGGGATTATGCTGCAAAAATCCCCTGTGTACGTTGTTGTCCCGCCCACTAATGAATTCAGCAGCTGACAGACAAACCAGTCAAAAATCAGCCAATTAGCCGGCCAGTCAGCCAACCAGCTAATCAGCGACAATATATTGCTTCACTGTGACTGACCGGACAACTTTCACAGCTTAAGGAGCGAAGCGATCATATACGGTAGATATGGGGGTTAGCACTGAGGCCCTTCGAAGGGCGAGAATTCTCGCCCAGCAGTTCTTTTATCATGCTGCAATGAACAATGGACCCCCATTGCAGCCAAGGTGTGTGAAACAACCAAGAAACTTCTTCTGTCCCCTGCTGTGTGTTGGTGAGAAACGGCACGTGGAGCAACACCAAAACGGCTCAGAAATCGAACGCAAGGGCACTAACAGGCTGCACACACTCTTGCGCCTACTGGCGCTTCGTTTCAACCCACAAATGTGTGTTACTTGCATCCGTCAGTTCACATTGACGACATCTAGCGAAGCCCAGCCTCCGGCCCCGCGCACAGCGCCCCTTCCACGTTCATCTCAGGGCTCATATGCCCTCTAATTAATGAAATGCTATGGCATTTTCAAAAAGAGCTGCGCATATTCGTAGCTCACATATCCTTTCACACCGAATCACCAGAGGCTGCAAACCATGTAACATCAGCGGCCTAAACACGTCACCTTTGGTCACCGTGACACCAAGCAGTACTCTCCTTTGGCCTTACCCTCACACACCCTTTATCAGAATGCACCACATGGCCCGGGCGCTGCATTGCCGCCGTCGACAGCGCTCGCCTCCCTGGCCCCCCTCAATGTGAAAATGATACTTCGTTTTCATATTCAGCACTGGTCAACGAATCGTATATTGTATCAAATATTCGAAATGCTGCCACTCTTCACACCAGCTAGGTCACATCGCCTCGCATCAGGTCATGTCAATTTACATTCAATATAATCCATTTACACGTTATTTTCGCCTTTCTCACAGGGCGCAGCCGTGCGCGCAGCATGGCCATGTCAATCGCCATGCCGCGCGGCATGGAACCACGGGTGCCTCTCAGCGCCTGAATTCGCAGGCTGAGCATGAACCACGACAGGCTCGCGACCTCCCGGAAGCCATTTTTGCCCTTCCACCTTTGTCTTACCCCTTCCTTTCAGCTCGCTTATCACTTTCCCGCGACGATTGAAAGCCGCCATGGCGTCCATAACCGAAGGCAACATGCCCTGACGAAGAGGGGGATCTTTTCGCATCGCACACAAGTCGCCCTGATCATGCAGAAGGCCGCGAGTTGCCTGCATCCTTTGGCTGGGCTCCAACGCGGCTCGGGAGGCGACGATAGCGATACGAAATCCTGCGTCGGGGCATGTTACTGTAGAATATGTCGCAACAAATAAGAAAGCAGCTGAAAGAGAAGTGGCAAAAATAACTTCCGGCACCGAGCACATTAAACAGTAACCTGCCCGTGAAGCACCCACGCTATGCCGCGCGGCATATGACATAACTGCCGTGCTCCGTGTAAATGGATTATATTGAATGTAAATTGACGTGACCTGATGCGGGGCGATGTGACCTAGCTGGTGTGAAGAGTGGCAGCATTTCGAATATTTGATAGAATATACGACTCGTTGACAAGTGCTGAATATGAAAACGAAGTGTCGTTTTCACATTGAGGGGGGCCAGGGAGCCGAGCGCTGTCGACGGCGGCAATGCAACGCCTGGGCCACGTGGTGCGTTATGATAAAGGGTGTGTGAGGGTAAGGTCAGAGGGGAGGCCGCCTGATGTCATGGTGTCCAAAGGTGACATGTTTCGGCCGCTGATGTGACATGGTTTGCAGCCTCGGGTGATTCGGTGTGAAAGGATGTGTGAGCTACGAATATGTGCAGCTCTTTTTGAAAATAGCATAGCATTTCATTTATTAGAGGGCATATGAACCCTGAGCTGAACGTGGAAGGGGCGCTGTGCGCGGGGCCGGAGGCTGGGCTTCGTTAGACGTCGTCGATGTGAACGGACGGACGCAAGTAACACGCATTTGTGGGTTGAAACGAAGCGCCAAGAGGCGCAAGATTGTGTGCAGACTGTTGGTGCCCTTGCGTTCGATTTCTGAGCCGTTTTGTTGTTGCTCCACGTGCCGTTTCTCACCAACACACAGCAGGGGACAGAAGAAGTTTCTTGGCTGTTTCATACCCCTTGGCTGCAATGGGGGTCCATTGTTCATTGCACGTGCTTAACGTCCAAGTCACGCATTGAGCAACAAGCTCAAGCATCCTCCCCCCCAGCCCCACCCAACCACCAAAGGATTGTTAACACCAATCCACTGAAATATGTCGATGTCACATCATATTCCACTTCTGGATGGGGTTGGATCGAAGCCCAACAATGTGCCGCACCTCTGCTGGGTCTCCCAGGTGGTGACCCGTTTCGATGGCCGACACTGTTGGGTAGCGCTACTCGAGCGGGTATTGCAGCTAGTGCGCCGGATGCGGAAGCAAAGTGAACGTTCCAGGGAGTTTTGCTGGCAATCCGAGGACGGCTTGAACTTGTCTCGAATGGAAACTACACGTGTTTGTGGTGTACATGGCCTGGCCCTCGATTGGACTTTCCGCGCTCGTCGCCTCATGCTCAGGGCAACGTGTTTGTTCGCCATCGCCGTTTTATTGATTAAAAATCTTAAAAATCCACGGAAATTGCTCGGCCTTAACACCCCTTGCCCCTTTCCACTGTCCGCAGCAATCCAGCACCGCCGCAGGAAAGCTGCAGCAGGCGGGCGGGCCATCCGCAACCACCAACATCATCCATCCTGTCGGGACCGAGAATATATTAGTCCCTCTGTCTTTTCCGTGAAGAGCCTTCTTCTTCCGCTGACAGGGCCAACGCCGGTCAGTGGGTCAGTTTTTGTCTTGTGGCTTGAGGGTTTATGGATCTTCAGGGAAAGGACAGGCCGACTAATAGGGTGCCATCAGGATGCCTTCCGCGTAGACATCCGCGTAGACCGCCACGCAGACGAATCCCGTCTCGCTTGCCACTGTCCAAAACCCCCTTTCCGCGGGCGTCGGCACCGCAGGTCGCCGTCCCCGGGCCCCGCACTTCGCCTCCAAGGCCCTCCCGCCTCCCCGCGGGCGCCCCACCCTGCGACACACCACAATCCCCAACTCAGGCGCCGCCCATCACCCCCGCTCACCCCGATGCCCGAAATGCAGTTCGGCGTCGGCCAGGCCGGCCATCAACTCGCCTGCCCCTTCCCTTGGCCGGGGCGCCCGACTTCATCAAGGGCCGCAGATTGTTTCTCATGCTGTGCTCGCCAATTGATGACCAGGCGAGCGGGGTGGGGAAAGTGCGGGGGATGGCGGCAAGGGGGAGCATCGGTGGTGGCGATGGCGACGGCCGCCGTGGGCAGCGGGACGCTGACGTTCCCCTTCGTCAGGATCGCGGGGCAGGAGGACCTGAAGCTGGCGCTGATGCTCAACGTGGTCGACCCCAAGATCGGCGGCGTGCTGATCATGGGGGACCGGGGGACCGGGAAGTCCGTGTCGGTGAGGGCGGGCACGGCCGAGGAGCGCTGAAAACGCAGCACCGAACGAACAGACTATGTGCATGGAACTATGTGCATGGAATTGTGCGCAGCTTCACGTCGCGTGGTACAGGAGTGTTTTGTGCCTGTGCAAGTTGCAGTCAAAGGGATACGAGAGAGTGGGCGCGTGACGAGTGTTCTTGCAAGGGCCTGCCTGCGTTAGAGAGGAAAAACGGACTGTCTGAATGGGCGAGGGTGGAGAGTGTGGGCGGGGATGATGCTGAGAAATTTGGCGCTGTATGTGGGCGGCATTAGCGTCTTCCTTTCCCGCGTCAGGGGCATCAGGGGCCTCAAGGATTTCCCCGGTTTGGAAACTACTCAAGTATGCGACAATGGATGTCTTGTCCAGAGCGGCAGCTCTCAAGACAGTGGGCAAATCAGCAATCTGGCAGTGCACAAAACTCAGAAGGTGGCACGATGTATTTGCCGCACACTACAGTTTGGCACATCCCCTTTCCTAACAAAACCCATGCAATGGGCTGATAGCACAATGGCTTGAAAGGGACTGAATGCCCTTTTTCCAAGTCCGGTTTTGCCATCCGATAAGACCGAATGCCAGTGGCTGCCAAAAAGTAGCAGCCCTAGGAATCTCCAATTCAATGCCAAAGATGCACTCTTTTGTTTGCTTTCATGTTGCACACGAGGGTGTGTTGGTTTCTCCGTTCTCAGTGTCTTTGAAACCCTCCCATATGGCATCCAACTGCATTCTTTGGGTAGTCATATACTAGACCTTTTTGTGCAGTATTTCTGTTGCTTTCTGATACTTATCGCATCATCATGCAGTGGAGAATAGATTCTCATGATCGGACCCCAATGACCCCAAACTCATGGGGCCCGAGGCGCTGGAACACTACAGAAATGGGGAAGACCTCCATTCAACAAAAATGAAGACACCACTGGTATGCCAGGGGCGAAGTTGAATGCAGTGTGTGTATCTCCTGTTTGTTGGGAATGGACTTCATGAATGGATCACTTGCCAGGCAGCTGTCTGTAGAAGTAAGCTTGGGATAAGAGACTGAGGAACCATACGAGATGTGGAGGCCAGCTCCTTTGTGACCCATGTAGGTGATGATTCTATAATATAGGTTTTGGACAGATTTGGGAGTTTTGGTGGCACAGGATGGAGTCCCGCCACAGGTTTTGGCCCTCCATGGAAGCTTATCAAACATGAAGAGCACCACTCTGGCAGTCAACAGCCAGTGGTGGTGTCAAATGTTCATGAACTGTTTGGGTTTCAATGACATGGCCGCTGCCAAGAATAAGAGCATGCATTGCATTCTAATTGCGTGTGCAACAAAGTTATCGGGTGTTTGGTTCCACAGTGATTGTCCCTTGTTTTATTCCAAAATAATACATCTCATTTCAGAGTCCAGGTGCCTCCCCCATCCCATTACAAGATATGTGGGCTTTGTGCCACTGAGCAAGTGCGTGCGAAGCGATGTAAGGCCCCCAAAAGGTTCGAGTCCAAAAGAATGAAGTCTCAACAAAGAGAAAAGAGAAGTTGGACACTCCGTGGGAGCCCTGGCAGAACAGGAATCAGAGTAACACGCATTTGTCTCTATGTTTGTTCTAATGAACTGCTTGTGTTTGTGTTTTGTTTTTGTGATGTGTTGTATCTTTTATTTGATGCCCAATCAAGCACTGCCATTTCCCAACTGGGCCACGTCAGGCCAATGTTAAGCCAAACTGAAAGAAGAGAACCATCTTTGCACCTAGGTGGAACTCCCATTGGGCGCCACAGAGGATCGGATATGTGGCACCATAGACATCGAGAGGGCGTTGTCTGACGGAGTGAGGGCGTTCGAGCCTGGGCTCTTGGTGAGAAACAGTGCTGCCAGTAGCACAGCACATGGAAATTTTCCTTATGTCAGTGTTGCTGAAATACTTGACCAATGGCATGATTGCCTGATGGGAAGTACTGTTGTCTTGTATTCAGTACCGGCACTCCATTTGTACCGTCTGCACTGCATTTCCCTTGCAGAAAGCAGAGGCGCAGTTCGCCATTTTGTAGGTCCGCAGGATTTGCTGTTGGGATCAGGCCACACTGTCCTTAGGACAGCGATGGCCAAGTTCTGATAATGCCATTGCTGAAGTTGCACTGTCAGTAGCGAAGCAAAAAAATGACCGTTCAGAATGTTCCCTCTCTGCTATGGGGAGCATGCAGAAGAGAATTTATCCATGCAGTGAGAGATTCCCCATGTTCCTGAATTGGTTTCAGGAATCGACCCCCAGAATACTGTGGGTGCATTGTTGGTGTTTTCTATTGGACTCAAAGGAGCATCAACCCAGGCAAGTTTTGTGCCTCTGCTCTGTGCTGGTGGATCTCCAGATGTGTTCACCACCCTGAATGGCGATCTTTGGGGTCCCCAAACGGTGGGCACATGAGAATTGCAGCTGCAAGGAAGTGTGCAACGATGTTGAATGTGATTACGATGGTGACAGATGCCGAAATCGGTGCTGTTTGCAGAAGTCGAAATTTGTTGGCAGTGTGAGCTCAGGGCCTTTGTGGCACCTGTCTTTTAACAGGTGTGTGGTGAGCTGTTGTCAGTTTCTGATGGGAGAAAAAGGCAGAAGGCCAAGATCTCCAGTGCATGTTTGTAACCTCTGCATGTTGCAACATGCACAACACAAAACACAACATGCCCAGCCATTTGTCAGGGGATTAAGGAATCCTCCGGTGTGTCTAAGTTGCTTATTTGGGTTGAGAATGTAGACAATGCATCTCTTCCATCCATCTGCAATGGCAGGGGTGGCACCTGGACTCTTCCACGTGATGCAGCACTGGAAAGAGGAAACAGGCATTCCCAGACATACACAGGAGGATGCAGGGATTTGTGCGGGAAGTTGAGCTTGTATTCACTGTGCAGGCCAGGGCAAACAGGGGCATACTGTATGTTGATGAAGTCAACCTTCTCGATGATGGCCTTGTTGATGTAATTTTGGACTCGGCAGCATCGGGGCTGAACATCGTCGAGCGCGAGGGCGTGTCCATACAGCACCCTGCAAACTTCATAATGATTGGGTCTGGCAACCCTCAGGTACTACCATTATATTGCAATCGCTATTTTGCATATTTGTCTGCCATGATTCCAAGCCACGCCCATCTGGATTTGCTGCATGACGCGTGCATCTGTGGACAACTGTTGTGTTCTGTATTTTCTGACATCTGATTGACAACCAAAACGTGTTGGGCAGCGCTCCACCTCCATGCTGGTGATCCCTGCTAGGGTGATGTACATTGTTTGGCGTAAAAGGGATACCTTTGGCAGAACACAATGGGGATGAGCAGGGTACAGGAAAGGTATAGCATTGCTATTGCTGTTGGCAAATGCCATCTGCAACGTGTGCAAAGTGTGTTGTTCATTGGTGTTTGAGAAGTTAGTGAATTTGGATGGTGGGGTTGTGGAGTGGAAGGTGAAGTCCAGAATATGTGCATAACGGAATGTCAACCTTGTGCTGTGATGCTGTCACAAGGTTGGGCACTGTGATCCTGACAATGATGGGCTCACCCAGCTGTTGTGCTTTCAAGACGTTTGGACACACATGTGCCATGTGTAGATCAGGCTTGGTTTTCGCTGCCCCAGCCATGATAATGTCATGGTGCGCACAACCAATATTCCATGGATGTTGTGCTGGACTTTATTTGCTCAGTCTCAGCACACTGCCTGCGCTTGCAGCAACAGGGCTGCATGTATCTGCGGCTTCTGGAAAATCCATAACTTTCGAACTTTGGCCACAAGAGTTATGTGCGCAGCCCAGATTGTGTTTGGTTTTGCCCACAGGAGGGTGAGCTGCGGCCACAGCTGCTGGACCGGTTTGGCCTGTCGGTTCAGGTGACAACACTGTTTGACAGGGATTTGCGCACACAGATTGTTCTGGACAGAATGAAATTTGACAATTCTCCAGAAACCCTGCTTATCGAGTCTGAGCCGGAGCAGGAAGCACTGAGGCAGAAGCTCATGGACGCTCGTGGGAAGCTGAAAGATGTTACAGTTTCAGAAGACGTGAAGGTTTGTGGCGGATGAGCAGTGGGCTTTGATTGAATTAGTGCAGAAAATGAAACACTGTGCATTAAACTTCTCCAAGGGCACTGCTTGGAAATTCCGGGATTTCACTTACATATTTGAGAATAGAGGCACTGGCCAGGATGGGATTGCTGTCCTTCTATACCATGGGCAACAGCGATGATCATGTGTGTCTTTCCCTCTGCCGCCAGGGCAGAGGGTAGTGTCCCAGACCAATTGGAGATGCAGCTGCACTCATCATCGCCTGCAGACTGCACGGGCTTGTATTTGTGATGTGCTGTTGTCAAACTGCAGTCCAGCAGATTCTGCGTGCCGTCCAGTCTCAAAGCTATTCCTCAAATTGTGTGCTGTTGACAGTGGCGATGGCCATGTGCTTTTACTCCTCAGTCACCTGAACGCGCAACTTGTTGCCCTGCAGCTGAAGATATCCGAGATATGCTCCCTCCTCAATGTCGATGGCCTGCGTGGAGACATCGTCACCAACCGCGCAGCCCGCGCGTATGTGGCGTACGAGGGGCGAACAGAGGTGACGATGGATGACGTGCATCGCGTCATCAATCTTGTGGTGTGCCACCGGCTACGAAAGGACCCTCTGGACACCATGGAGGGGGGGCACAAAGTGGAGCTGGCGTTCAGGAGGGTGATGAACCCAAAAGCTGCCAAGGAGGAGGAGCCTGAGAAAACCGCAGACAAGCCTGCGCCTCAGAGTAAAGACAGCAAGCGTGGAAATCTTAAGCCGGGGGCGTGGACTGGCCTTAAATTCTGAGTGTGAGCGAACTGGTGACGAGCACATGCGGCAGCTGCTACAAATTGAAAATTGCAAATTGAAATCGTCTCTTCACTTTTGTTTGAGAACCCAAAGCGGCAAAACCAGGGCCACGGTGGTTTTGAGGACTGCAGTGCGGTTTTCAGTCAGTGACGACAGGCCCAACAGCAGCCCCTGTGATTTTCAGAGTCTGGCTCTTGAGCTGCAGTTGCTCTCGCCATTTGGAAAGTGCTGTTTGGATTTAATATGCGACAAAAGGTTGCCAGTTGCCAGTGGGTCTCAAGCATGGAACTTGCATGTCCCATATATGTCACTATATAGTGAGCATCCCATTCCAAGTGAGGATCGTTGACAGTCTTTTCTGTGCTGGAGGAAGACACGGACGTCTCTGAATGCATGAAAGCAATCGAACAGCAACACAATGTATGCAGCAGGCAACCTGTTGGTGGAAGGCCAGCGATAACTTATTGAACAAGCGATTGGGTTCGAGTGAAGAGGTCATTAGCCCCCAGCCATATGAAAGGTCGCCACGTGCCTTGTTGCAATATGGTAAAACCAATGGATCGAAACATAATTTCGTCCCTGCCAAGTTGTGTGTCTCTTCCCATGGCTTCCTTCTGGAACTGCAGACACAGAGCGTTGCTATGGCGTCCAAGTTTTGACCACCAACAACCTTGCCCAGTTTCTGCCTCGAAACAGGCATTGACAGGAATTGGGCGAACTGCGACTGCAGCTACTGACTTAGCAAGAACTGTTTGGCAGAACAGAGGCTGTGCATGTTGAGCAGCACAGAGCTTTACTGAAACGCACATGATGTGCCCATGGCGAGGTAGTCACGCATGGACGAAAAATGTTGCCCGAAACTATTGGAGTGCGCGTGCCATGCACAAAATAACCTTCAGACGCTCAATTCCCAACCTTGGGGGGCTGGATTTGGAATCTCCTAAATTTAGTCAAGTGGAACAGAGGCAGTGCACCCTAGGGCATTGCGTCAGCCCTTTCCATCTTTAGCAGGAGTGGGCAGTTTGAGCCCGACTCTTGAAGCTGTCCTCTCTACCATCTGCTGCTGCCGGGCTGCATCCACGCCGGAGCGAATGTTGTATGAGATCAGCAGCTCCTGAACACACACAAGTGGCTTGAGAACAGGGGCAGCGCCCTGGAAGGCCCCCCAGTGCACTGTGAGTGACACTCGCTAGATTTAACTCCCACTGTCCCCATTTCATTGCTCCTGGCTTATCAGAAAAACAATCCTGCTAATTATCTGCATCAATCACTACCACCTTCCCCAAAATGCAACCTGCGGGATTCCTTTTCGCAGAGGGGTTGAGGCGAATTTGTACCACGGATTGCACCGCTTGGGACGTTCCCGTGACACAACATGACCAAATGCTTACTGCAAACCACCTGCATGACTACGTTCATGCAGCAGCTGGAATCTCTCCGAAGCCCACCGACCAGCTTCCACTCATCCAAAAGCATCTGCTCAGAGGCCCTCGCCCACCTTGTGCGCAGCCACACTGTCGACCAAGAACGCGTAATCCCTGGCCTCCTGCACCAATGCCTTCACCCCCTCGTCGCCCCCTTCCGTTGGACGCCGCCTGAACTCCTCCGCCACAAATTCCCTCCACAGCCTGTTGCCGGTCACGCTAGTGATGTGCCTGTCGACGGCGCGGATCACCTCCCGGTAGGCCGCGCGCACGTGCGACATCCGCCACGCCCCCTAAGCCACGGGCGCCGGTTGTGATGGGTCGACCGCCCCTCGGGGGACAGAACACAACCCAACGGCGAGTGCCCAATCGAGACGACCGAAAGGCCTGGCAAGTGACAAAGCAACCCAAACGCGGGCGGTCAAGCGCTGCGCCCAAACCCTGGCGCCGCCCCAGGGCGCAGGACGGCTCAGACCGCAACAATCTGCGATACCCAGGCAACAGCCCAACCTGCGAAGGAAAACTGTAGCCAGCCATGGCCTGGCCTGGCCTTGCGGTTACGCGTAACGCGTCATCCGCGCTGCGCTCCCAAAATCGATCCGACTGCCATTTTGCGTCGCATAATTGTCGCCATGCCTCCCAAGCAGGGCAGCGAGGAAACAGCTGGCCCAGGGTGCTTGTGCAGGTTCTCTCTCGTGTTCCAGTGCCCCCCCTGGCGTGAAGAGGATTCGCGAGCCGGTACAGAGAACGCGGTGGCCAGCCATCCGTGTCCGCTGTGCCTGGAGGAGGTCCCTGTCGACTCGGCGGCCACGCACATCGAGGCCCACTTCGAGCTGCCTTTGACAATAACCTAATTGGAGACATTCCCAGACTTGAATCTGCAGAACCACATTGCATTCCACGGCCTATTGTGTCACCATTTGTGTTACTTTTAGCATCACAGATGAATTGCGATGCAGCGCAAAATTGCTAATGTTCAACTCGTGCTGTATCTCGCCAACTCTGCCAGTGCCCATTTATTTTAACAAACTAGCCTTGCACATGTGTCTACAAAGGAATGCGATTTCTTCATTTTCTGTGAACTTCAGTGGCGGCGTTTTGAAGCCACTCGGTAGCATCAAGTGGCGCACTTGCCAGAACGTTGGTAATTTCGTTCACCACCATTTCCCCCTGTGCCATCAATGTAGGCGTGCATTTCGTTTCGCTCAGACTCAATCATGAGTAATCGCGGCCCCTGCAATGATTGGGCGATGCCGTTCTGTGGTGAGTTCCACTAAGAAATGCAGCTGCCGCTTGATCATTTAATATCAACGGAAACACGTGCCACGGCCAGCGTGTAATTTCGCTTTACTCATGGTGATACGCCCCTTCATCCGCTCCAACAAGAGTAGTGCGGCGGTGTGGAGGAGTTGCAGCGGCGGCCAGCGCTTAGCGATAATCGCCCAAGGCAGCACTTGCGGACAGGAGACAAGCTGCAAAGGGTGTTTGTCACGATGCCCTGTGCGTCGGATGCATAGTCCCGTACTGGACATCAGGTGCTGCGATTCCCACACACACCCAACCTACCTTGCAGAACACCACGCACTCCACATGTCCCATGTCCATCCTTATGTACCTACATTGTCCCTACGGTGCGTATGGCTGCAGGATCTTCAAGACCTTTGTGATGTTGTGGGAACGGATAACAAGGGCCTTTCAGATTCGGGCATCGATTCGCTCGCAGAGACGATATACTGTTCGGAAGGCACCTCGCAAAATGAACAGTAAGCGCGGTTCGATTGCCTTTGTCCGCACACCCACCGTCACCCACCCAGCCACAACTGGAGAGCAAAATCTGGTTGCCTTGGAGACAGACGGGAGAATTGGCCTTCTGCACCCTTTCCGCTGTCATTCTGCAGTCATTTTGCAGCCCTTCTGCCGTCTTTCTGAATTCAGTTCAATGCCGTTCTTCTGTCTCGAAGACTGTCGCCAGCACAACATGTATACGCAATGAATCTGCGCACGCAGCTGGGATGAATCTGGAAAGAACTGCTTCGATTTTTGTAAGTGTTGAACAATCGTACCCTAAATCAGCTGTTTAGAAACAACAATCCAAAGCAGCTAATCTCGAAAGCAAGTGGACATGCAAGTCTTGTGTTGCCACGAAGTTCAAGAAGATTGTGGCCGGTCATGGGTACGCATTGGTTGCTGCCGTGATGCTGGACACGCCCTGCGCTGTGGTCCATGAACGAACGAACGGACGGACGGACGGACGGACAAACGAACGATACACCTCGCCCCCACAGCATTCTGTGACCCAGGCAAAATGAGGACACTTGCATGTCTGCTGCTGCACAGATGCATTGAGTGATAAATGGCCACGCCCCTGCACATAGACTGCTCTTGAGTATTGGCTGATAGATGCACGAATATACATTGCGTAATCACGTATACACTGTATTTGTGCACATGACCATGGCTTCCTTTGGCCTGTCTTCAGGTGCGCCATATGTCGATGCGAATATGAGAATGGAGACAGGGTGAAGGGCCTGCTTTGCTACCATGTTTTCCATCCCTCCTGCATCGCCAAATGGCTGAAGGTCAGCAAGGTGGGCAAGCGCTAGATCCGCACTGGCAAATGCCTCAGAGAGCTGCCGCATCCCCTTTTTTTGCCATGCTATAAAGTCGTCACCGTCTTGATAACTTTGCATTTGTTCCATACTTTGCATAGAAATTCAAGTGCCATGCTTGCAGCCGGTCGGCAACCGCTGCGGAAGACGAAAGGGCAGTTGCTGCCAAGCGTCACTTGAATGTTGCCACGCGTCCTAACTATCTGAATAATTGGGATAGCATTGCTGCACATGCGGAAGCAAAGCCCTTGCACCAAACTCGGTAATAGTCGCCACACAATGCCACCATCGGAGCTTTTGTGGCCGCTGTCTTGACACTGTTTTTTTTAAGACTCTTCCACACTCGCCTAATTGTCGCATCAGTAGTGTGAGTAAACCCTTGTGGGTGTGGCGTCAAAAAGCGAATGCAGATGCCGTAACTGGTGCTATTTCCTGAAGCACAGTTGGTCCAGGTGCTGGTGCTCGTTGTCGTCCGTCTTGGGGCGCACTATGCCTTCCGCTGCTGCACCAGTCGCATTGTACCGGATCCGGTACCCTGTCCGGACAGGGACTGAATAAAATCCGAAGTAAGTGCGTGGGAACAAAGCAAAGAAACAGTGAGGTTTTGTGGATGTCCGAATTTGAATGGATTCTGAGCGATGCAGCCAAAGCGTGCTTACTGGTAACTGGACGTGCAAACCTGCTTGCAAATTGGGGCCCCTTGTTTAACCAAACTGCGCACAAACCCAACAAGGGGTTTCGGTTGTGCACACAGAGTTGGAGCATTGAATGCTGATTTCGAAACGTCCGAGTTCTCAACTTCTGCTTGAGCCGCAGAAGGCATTCGCCGGTAGCCGCAGTCACCCTTTCCTGCCAGAGATCACCTTGGCGCACCCAACACACCTTTTACCCCCACAGATGTGCCCAATCTGCAATCAGGAGGAGCTTTCACTGCCGATTCACATATGAGCGTCAGGTATGGCGA